CAAAACAAAACAAAACAAAACAAAACAAAACAAAACAAAACAAAACAAAATAGAAGTTGAAGTTGAAGTTGAAGTTGAAGTTGAAGTTGAAGTTGCAGTTGCAGTTGCAGTTGCAGTGAAGTGAAGTGAAGTGAAGTGAAGTGAAGTGAAGTGAAGTGAAGTGAAGTGAAGTGAAGTGAAATGGTAGACAACTGCTTTAGTGGAATGCAACTAAATCGTTAACTGAACACTTCCTTATAGGAAGATGGGTTAGAAGACAAGAGGAGAGTGGGACAAAAGCAACTGACAGAGAAAAAGAAAAAGAAAATCAGTTTATAGGATAGGGTACAGTAGAATAGGAGTAAAAACACTGGTGGTCCTTGTTGAAAATGGAACTAACATTCTGTAAATAAACATGAAATAAACAGAAACACTTTGTGGTCTATATTAATTATTCATAATCTGGTGGTCTTCTGGTTGATTATGAAAATGAATATATTATCATTAGCCCAATGCCTAATATATGATGAAAACCTGCCTATCCTGTTTACTATTGACTTATCTCTTCCAGAATAAACCATCAAATATTTAAAATTCATCATAGCTGAAACAGAATATTATATTCTAGGTTTAGTGTCTCCCTAATAGCACAAACTTTAAAATTCTATTGGTTTTGCATGATTTTGCAATTCACTTCTTTCATATGAAAGGAAAGTAACAGAGGAAACAACACAAAGTTAGACATAACTAACATTCAACATACACGTTATCAGTAATGGCTATTCTAGGATGTGAGAACAAGAACCCCCTATATAATAGGACATTTGATAAAATGGAGTAGAAAATATTATAGGAAGCTCTTCAAAATGGAATGCAAAATACTTTGCAGCAGAATACAAATGTTCAAAGAAAATGGAAGAACAGGATCTTAACATTCCAATTCTTCTTCATAGATTTGGTGGCTTTTGGTCTTTTGCACACACACACACACCCCATTGGCCTTGTGGTTCTGGCTGCCCTAGGCCTTTCAGCCTGTGTCATCATTAGGGTGCCTACTCTGTTCAGGGGGGTTAGGGAGGATGTGTGTGGAACCTTTCCATGTGGTTTTGTTTTGTTTTCCCGCTCAGGCTTGGACTGCTGAGTACCTTGAGGCAAGTGTGGTTAGGGGTGACTGAGTTCCTAGTGGGTCAGGGTGAGTTATAGGAGAATTATCTGGTGGAGGGAGGATTGGATATGTCTTCCAGACCTGGAAGGGGGAGCTGAGGTGCAGGCAGGGCCATTTCAAGAGTGATCGGCAGAGGAAGATATGGCAGAAATCCAAGGGTACCTCACTTGGGGACACTGGGCCCACTGCTTGAAAGCAATCCTGCAGTCTGACCCTAGTTTCTGCTCTGACTGCCTGGAAAGGGATCCTTGGTGGCCCTGGACTTCAGTTGTTGCTTTTGAATGCCAGGTCTATGTATAATAAAACTGCCTCATCCATGATAGTTTCTTGGAAGAGGGAGCCAACCTGGCATGTCTTACGAAGATGTGGTTGGGCATAGGGGGGTCCCCTCTTGGAAATGTGCCCACCTGGGATTCGGGTTCTGCATTAGCCTAGAACATGGGGGGGGGGGAGAGCAGGTGTCAACTGTGGCTAGGAAGGCCTCTGCACAACTTCATCTGGTGTGCCAGTTGTCCCCTTTCCTAGATCGGGGGGTTCTTCAGACAGTCACTCGTGCCCTAGTCACCTTGCAGCTTGGCTACTGCAATGCTCTCTACATGGGGCTACTCTTGAAGGCCACCTGTGGAAGCAGTAATGGGCATGCCCCAGTATGCCCATGTAACACCTATCGAGTCCTTCCCAAGGACCATGGATAGGCAGATGTTGTTGTTTGATGGGGTTAAAGGCATTGTCACAGGATATAAACTGTTCCAAGTAAAGTTGCCTTTTGCAATTGTCTGATGGTGATTTTGTCAATGCCGATGGTCTTAAAAAGGTGCTCCAGATGTTTTGGGATTGTACCTAAGGTGCCTATAAATATTGGTACTATCTTTGCTTTCTTTTGCTGTAGTCATTCTACTTCTATTTGCAGGTCTTTGTATTTTGTGATATTCTCCCGTTCTTTCTCTTCTATTCAGCTGTTTCAGGTATTGCAATATCCACTGTCCAGATTTTTTTGTCTTTCTTATCAACAATTGTTAAGGTTGGGGTGTTGTGTGGCAGGTGCTTGTCTGGTTGAATTCTAAAGTCCCAGAGTACTTTAGCTTCTTCATTTTCTATTACTTTGTCTGTTTTGTGGTCCCAGCAGTTCTTGCTTACAGGCAAATGGTATTTCCTGCAGATATTCCATTTGTCATGTCATTGTTTGTAGTCAGTCTGTGCAATCTTCTTGCAGCAGCTAACTAGGTAGTCCACTGTTGTTGTTGTTGTTGTTGTTTCTCCTCCTCCTCCTCCTCCTTAGGTTTTATTTTGTACTTCCAAGGGCAAGATGCAATGAGTCCACAACACATTGTACTATTTAAGTTACTTAACAATCTTCCCTTATTTTATCTAGTTAAACTATAATTAAATGTAAATCTCATGACTGTGATGCTATGAGACACAGTAACTGATGTCCACCCAAACTGCACATTTCTAGTTACACCCAAGGATCTTGCACAACATGCATCAACTCAAAATAATTATGGCTACTATTTGCAATATTGGGCTGGTGATGTTTAACATCTGTTTAACCAAATCCAATGAGGACACAGGGCAACTTAAAACCAGTTTCAGAATCTCTGTATTAATAAAAGCTTATTTATTTATCATCTTTGAAATTATTACTTGGAAATAAATCCTTGGATCTGGAAGGAATTACATGTATATTTCTTGGAAATATTACATACTTCTACACTGTCTAAATTGACTGAAACCAGGATTACAGTAATTAAACAAGCATAAACATGAGAAGCTGCAAGTAAACATTCCACTTTTTTTTTTCAAAGTACTTGTCAAGACATCTCCAATCTACCATATTTACCTAAAAGGAACACAATCCTAAATTTAAAATGGTCTCCACATAAATGAAGACTAGAGAAAATATGATAAACACAATGTTTCACTTCACACCTTGTCATCCTAGGACTACAACTCCAACTGAAATTAATCCTGAAGATTCTTCCCACCCATAAATATATACCTGGCAGAAGTCACACTCCATAAAAGGACAGAGGAAGGACAAAAACCAAACTTTTTAGTAACTTCATTAATACTTATTAAAAGTGCCTGTAAAAAAGGTGCCCATTTATAACATTAATTGATCTCCATATACTAAACATTCTCTAACACAGAGAGAAACATAAATATACTCACATGCACTCATATGCATCCCTTCTTCTAGCAAGTAAGTAAAACATAAGAACATAAAACAAAAAGAACCCTGCTAAATTGGCTCAAGACCCATCCTGGTCCAGCATTTTCTCACAGTACTGATCCAAATGACTCTGGGGTGTTCACAGAGATGGAGACGTATCGCACTTGCACAGTTGTTTCCCCAAGCTGGAGATAACAGAATTTGCAAGAATAACATCTCCAATAGACCTGTTACCCATGAATTTATCCAATTCCTCTTAAAAAAAAAGTTAGTGATCATTACCATATGATTTCTAGAAAAGAAATCTGCCAATTAATGATATGTATAACAAGATGGAGGTAGGGTAAGGAAAAGGGTAGCTGCACAAGGAAAGGAAGGGATGTAACACCTAAATTCAGGTGGCAAGGAGACCCTCCCAAGCTAAGGTTAAACTTAAGACACCCATCTTTGCAGTCATTTGAACCTCCACCCCATTCCTTTGTTTTCAACAACAGTCTTCTATTTAGTAAGTTTAAGATACCCTCCTCCCCAATTCATAGGTATTTACTGGGGGATGGAATTGTCTTGCTATAGATTTGCTATCTGTAAATATAGTATTCACTAACTCATTCTGTGAATCAACCCATGACACAAAAACAAAGTTTAATAGAGCCATGCAATATAATTTTTCTGAATCTTTTATTTAACTCAGTGAAAATATTTAAAATAGGGCTTGAAATAACTAAATGTTTAGAATTGTCTAAACATTCATCCAGACACTAAACTAAATACTTTATCTGAATGTTGTGTTTCATCACTGTAATCGGAAGGAACGCTTTCAGATAAATATGGCCAGGAGTTAAAGTTAAAGGAGTATAGCCCAACCCCAAAAATATTTCCACATATGTAACAGCTATTTATGGATTTAAGTAATGTCAGCTATGGTGTAAATGCAACAAAAAGTCCCTGAGGCTATGC